AAATATTAAATCCATGTTTGGGTGGGGAATTTAATATCCAAGCTCTTTAATGGATGTATACATTTTTCCATTACATAAATTGCTACTTCCCATTACATATATTGTTAATTGAATTATTCAATTAACAAATTGAATTAACAAATAACAAATAACAAATAACAAAATTATTCAATTAACAAATTATTCAATTTGTGGTTCTACAAAAAGCAAAATAGACTTGAGGTAAAAAAACATATATATATATATATATATAATATATATATATATATATATATGAGATTTGATCTATGTGACCTTTGGTAAGTTACTTAAACTCTATAAGTCATGGTTTCCCAGCTAAAGAGTAGTGGAAAAAAATGATATCTATATTACTGAGGTTTTGTGAGGGTCAAGTACATAAGACTAAAGGAAGATTAAATGTTAAAAGAAACTTACACATCATGTTTAAGCAAATATTCCAGAAAGAATGGCATATATTACAGAGTATTAAAATTGTTATTGATTAATAAAATGATGGCCGTATCTCCTACTGAACAAAACGCTTACAAATAACCACTATGAACTCTGCACAAAATATAGAAAAAAACTACCTGAAAGCACTTGAGGGAAAAAAAGCAAGCAGACATTGAAGAGGGGGTCAACATTTATAAGAAAGAATGGCACTGAGCAAGGATAGACCCCAGTCAACACACTGAGTACACAAACATGGAAAACCTGAAGTCTTAGTGGTTAAAGCCTAGAAGACAGAGTATGGAGTGACCACAGCAGCTGAAAAGTGAGGGTGAAAATCCTAGGGAAAGAGAGAGCCAATAGAAAGTAAGCCTTACTCCATATATTAAATAGTCTTCCTAATTCTCTGACTCTGAAAAATATATAGAAGGGCAAAATCCAATCAGCACAATGAAGGCTAAGCAAATAAAGACCGTTCAGAGTTTGAAGTTCAGGTTAGCTGTCTGCTAAAAGAAAAAAAAATATTCTTCTGAAAAACAAACATGATCAAGGGAGGTCTAAAATACATCATTCATAACATCCAGGACACGCAAAAAAATTAGTAGACCTATGAGAAAACAGGAAAATATGACCTGTACTCAAGAGCAAAGGCAATCAATGGAGACCACACCTGAGATGACTCAGATACTGAAATTAACACACAAGGATTTTAAAGCATCTATTACAGTTATGGTCAAGGATATAAAGGAAACATGCTCATAGTAATACAAAATCTTAGCAGAGAAATAGAAACCATAAAAAATGAAAATTCTAGAACATAAACATAAAATCTCTGAAATTTTTTAAAAATCCATTGGATGGGAGTGCCTGGTGGCTCACTTTGTTAAGAATCCAACTTCAGCTCTGATCATCATCTCATGGTTTGTGAGTTTGAGCCCCACATCAGGCTCTCTACTATCAGCACGGAGCCCGTTTCTGATCCTCTGTCCCCCTTGCTCTCTGCCCCTCCCCCCTCACATGCTGGCTCTCTCTTTTTCTCTTTCAAAAATAAATACAAACATTTTAAAAAAATTCATTGGATGAACTTAACAGTAGATTTAAGATGAAGGAAGAAGTCAACGAACTTGAAAACAAATCCAGTAAGAACAGAAAACATAAATTGGAAAAAAAATGAACAGAGCTTCTCAGAAATCTGTGGGATGACATCAATAAGTCTAACACATGTGTCAATGGAGTCCAAGAAGAGAAGTAAAATGACAGAAAGAATATGTGAAGAATAATGACTCGAAACTTTCTAAATATGGTAAAAGACTAAAATTTACAGGTTCAAGAAGCACAGAGAGCCCCAATTAGGATAAATACAAAGAAAAACTACACCCATAAACACAATAGTCAAACTACTGCAAACAAAACACTAAAGGTAAAACCTAAAAACATCCAGAGAAAAACAACCAATTACATATAGGGGATATCATTTGAATGATAACTAACTTCTCATCAGAAACAATGGAGGCCAGAAATTAGCAAAATAATCTTTAAAATGCATAAGGGGAAAAGAAAACTGTCAACCCAGAACTCTGTATCCAGAAAAAAATATAAGAACAAAGGAATAATAAAGACATGTTGAGGGGCGCCTGGGTGGCTCAGTCGGTTGAGCGGCCAACTTCAGCTCAGGTCACGATCTTGCGGTCCATGAGTTCGAGCCCCGCGTCGGGCTCTGTGCTAACAGCTCGGAGCCTGGAGCCTGTTTCGGATTCTGTGTCTTCTTCTCTCTGACCCTCCCCCGTCCATGCTCTGTCTCTCTCTGTCTCAAAAATAAATAAACGTTAAAATTTTTTTTTTTTTTTTTTTAAATAAAGACATGTTGAGATAAGGGGCACCTGCGTGGCTCAGTTGGTTAAGCCTCCAACTCCTGATTTCCACTCAGGTCATGATCTTATAGTTTATGAGCTCAAGCCCTGTATCGGGCTCCACACTGTATTCTCAGTCTCTCAAAATAAATCAATAAACTTTAAAAAAAAAAAAAAAGACATGTTCAGATCAAAGAAAACAATTCATCATCGACAAACCTAAACTACAGAAAATGCTAAAAGATGTTCTCTAGGCTGAAGGGAAATGATAACACATGAGTATTCAAATCACCAGAAAGGAATAAAGAGCACTTTCTGTTTATGCCTCAAAGTGTGTCTTTTAAAATGACTCAAAGATTCTGATTAAAGTGCTACTAAATGGGCCTAACTTCTTTTCCCAACTTCACTTTCTCAAACATACATGTATACATAGCACCAAACATGCAGGGATGGGGAGATATTCAATAAGTGGTATTCACATATACAAGGATTAGGTGCCCAAAGTAAACTGTAGATTCTCTAGTTCCTGCAAGGTTTTTCCACACTGCCTATCTTTCTCAATGGAGATACTGAGTTTATATACTCTATAAATATAACCACTTTTGTTAGTCAATATTTTGTTTCACTTACTATAAAATGAAAACTGCAAACATTAAACATTCTGAAAGATAACTCATCAGTTTCTATAAATGCTTCAGTATATAACCTTTTCAAGGAACAGAACTCTATTATACACTTGTTTTTACCCTGAACAATACCTAACAGAATGCTGGGCAGAGTGAGTGTTTAACATTTACTTATTGTTTTCAAATAGCTTTCATAGTTAAAATGTGTTGTATCCAGTTAAGTTTAATCTCATCCCAAAAGTTATACGGTAGTTTTACATTAATTTAGAAGACTAGGGATGCCCAGATGGCTCAGTTTGTTGAGCGTCCGACTTTGGCTCAGGTCATGAGTTTAAGCTGCGTGTTCGGCTCTGTGCTGACAGTCCAGAGCCTGGAGCCCACTTTGAGTTCTGTGTCTCCCTCTCTCTCTGTCCCTCCCCTGCACGCTCTCTCACGCACTCTCTCTCTCTCAAAAATAAATTAAAAAAAATTTTTAAGTTATAAGACTAAATGTGGAAATGGAAATTTTTTCTCCTGGTATTAGAGAAGGCTATTGTTTGAGGACTCATTCATTAACAGCTGACCCAAGGAAAAGAAAAGGTAAGAAACTGAAAAAGAAAAGAGAATCTGATGGAAAAAGTTTGATTATTTCCAGAAGTTCAACGTAATCTTATTGTCCTATTTACTCCTAGGACCAAAATTTACTTCTTACTGTAAGGAGTAATGCAAAAAACTATTAATATATGATTTGGTTAAAGTCCTTTCCCTATTTTTTAATCAGGCTATTTTAGTTTTGTTATTGTTGAGCTGTAGTTCCTCCTCCATTCTGGATATTAATGCCTTATCAGATACAGACATTTCCCTGAAGAAGATATACAAATGGCTAACAGGTATATAAAAAGATGTTCAACATCACTAATAGAGAAGTGCAAATCAACACTATAATGAGATTATCACCTCACACCTATTAGCATAGCCGCTATCAAAAATAGAAAAAATAGAAAATGTTGGTGAGGACATGAAGAAACTGGAAGAAACCCTAGTATACTATTAGTAGAACTATAAAATGGTGCAGCCAGCCACTATCAAAAAATGGTATGGAGATTCCTCAAAAGATTAAAAATAGAGTTTACTATATGATCCAGCAATCCCACTTCTGGGTATACATCCAAAAGAGATGAAAGCAGGATCTTGGAGAAATATTTGCAAACCCATGTTCACAATGGCATTATTCACAATACCCAAGAGATGGAAGCAACCCAGTGATGGATAAACAGAGAAAATGTGGCATCTGCATACAACAAAATATTACTCAGCCTTTAAAAGGAAAGAAATCCTGTCACACAGCACAACAGACAACATGCTACATAAAATGTACCAGTCACAAAAAGACAAAAACTCTGAGATCCCCCTTGTATGAGGTATCTAAAGTAGATACCTGTTTCAAATTTATAGAAACAGAAAATAGAACTATAGTTCCCAGAGGCTGGAGAGAGGAAAATGGGAAGTTGTTCAATGGGAAAAGAGTCTCAGTTTTACAAGACGAAAAAGCTATAGAGATGCACAAGGTGAATGCTAGTTAACACGATTAAACTGTGCATTTAACAATGGTAAACTTTATGTTTTGCTTTCTTCCTCTTTCTTTCCATTCCCTTTCCCTCTACCCAATCTGTCCCAAACTCAAAATATATGCACTGAATCAACAAAATAGAGGAAGGAAAAATGAGCATTCTGTTCTTCTCCTCCCTTTGCAGTTCTCCACAAGAAGCATTAGTTTTGGTTCAGAAACAGTGAGGGGAAAATTGGAGGGAAGCTCAATTCCAGGCTTCTGATTTGGGGGAACCAGAACATTTCTTCCAATTCAGGTCAAGTTGGCAACTCTACCAGGCAATAGGGAAACGTATCTGAGTACTCAAGATCTTTAAAGCCCAATGAGAAATTAATTTAAATAATAAAATATTACAATACTCTCTCATATTCATAGTTAATATACCAAAACTGATCTCAAAATAAAGGAAAGAAAGAGAGAGGGAGGGAAGAAAGAGGGTACGAAGGAAGGGGGGGCAGGAAGGAGGCAAAAATAAGAAACAACACATACATATGACATTTTCTTTACTAACCAATGAAACAAAAAATAAAAAAACAGATCTCATAAATGAATAGCTATTCCATTAGAAAATACTTCATTCTACAATCTCTTTCAGCTGCTATTCCATCAATTTCATCAGGTTTTGTTTCTTCATTTCTGTTTGGATGCAAAGTCCCATAATAAACAATAAGAAAAATAATTCCAAGGACCAGACTAAGAGCTATAGTGATACTGATAGGTATAAAATAGTCTGAATTAAAAATAGAGACTGGGCAAACCCAAAACACAATTAATATCCCCACTGTGACCAGTACCCTTCCAATATAATAACAGAACATTGGATATTTGGTGTTCTGTCCCTTAATATTAAAAAATGTAAAGGTAAGTATGAATCCAACAACAACTCTGTATAAGAATTCCATACTTATAGAAGCACAAAACTGAGTTTGCTTTTTAAATGCCCACGATATCCCTAAAAACCAAAGAAATAACAACAGAAATAATGCAATCTTAACATTTATGAACAAAAGAAGTACAACACTCAGCATCCAAGATAATAATGTAAACAATTTGTAAAAGAGGTATGTGAGTTTAGGACAGAATCCATTAAGGAGATTTTTATCAGGCAAGGATTTTCTTAAAGCTACTTGATAATCAACAGTCGACCAAGAAATAGCACAGCAAGAAACCATGATGGCAGCATCTACAAAACAAAAAATAAAAACATATATTGTTATAGGAATAATAATAGCAATATCAAATTACTATATGCCATACATGCTTTATCTGTATATACGCATGCCCACAAACATGTCAGGTACCTTATATATTCATTTCATCTAATCTTTGAAGTAGAAATTAATATTCCCATATTACATATGAAAGAATTGATGCTTAGACAATATATATATTACTTGACTCAAGTCACACAGCTAGCAAGTTGCAGAGATCTGAAGCTAAATCTGCCTGAGGGTTCCAAAATTGGTTTACTTAAATGCTATATTAGACTGCTTTATAAAATTTTAAATAAATTCACTGCACAAATCTTATTGAGCAACTTATATAATGAAAACGGCACACTCTAGGGGCGCCTGGGTGGCGCAGTCGGTTAAGCGTCCGACTTCAGCCAGGTCACGATCTCGCGGTCCGTGAGTTCGAGCCCTGCGTCAGGCTCTGGGCTGATGGCTCGGAGCCTGGAGCCTGTTTCCGATTCTGTGTCTCCCTCTCTCTCTGCCCCTCCCCCGTTCATGCTCTGTCTCTCTCTGTCCCAAAAATAAATTAAAAAACAACAACAACAACAACAACAAAAAAAGTTGAAAACTGCACACTCTAGAAGTTCTCTAAGAGACTACAGTTACAGTCCTAGTCTTCCCAGTCTTTTTGGCTTTGACCTTGGACATATACCTAATTCTCCAAGAGACATCAAGATGGGGGATGGGGGTAGGAAGGGAAAGAGGAAAAGAGGGATGTTAAACAGAAAATTTAATGTCAGTATAAGGTATCAACAAGCTTAATTTCCATTTCTATAAGACGAGTCAAATGAGCAAATATATTCTAAAACTTACAAATTTCTATAGGTTTGACATCTTTGTCCCATTTTTTTCCCCCAACAAGTAACAGAAGAGTAAGTTCATTACTACTGTAAAAAGGTATGCCATTAGCCCCATTGCCAAAGCTGGGAACGTTAACAGAACTGAAAGCAAAGACATTAGAGAATTAGAATTTAAAGCAGACTACAGAATGCTATTCCTTCCCATTTAGCCTCATTGGAGGTCTATATATTATGATAAAAAAGCAGACTTAAAATAAACTGACCTATTAAAGAGGATTATGATGATTATAAATGCCTTCATCTACCCTCCTGGTTTTAGCATATTCCACTCTGGACCACACAATTAGCTGGACTTTTTTTTTCTTCTTTAATTCAAACATATTTTAATTAAAGCATCTCTTTCCCCTAAATTTTGTTTTTTTCTAATTAGTTTTATCTTCTACCAAATACATATACATAACAATTGAACAAATAAGCAAAAACAAATTAATACACATATATAACTTAAGTCAGTAAGTACTATAAAACTTATAAGAAAAATACCCTGTTCTACCCGCCTCCTCACTTCTCAGTCGCAACCCCCAGAAGAAATCACTATCAATTTCTAGTTTTTCTTCTGACACTTATTGCCATATTTACAAATAAAACACACCTATTCTATTTCATAATTTATCTGCTTTAGACAGTGCTTACTGATTTTCTATTTGGAAAGAGGAAAACTTAGCACATATACACATATAGGCACATGCTCCTTGCATTTTCCTCTCCCTCCATCTGCCCAACAGAGTAACATCACAATTTTTGGTAAAAGTCTATATTCGGTGTTTATCTTACTATAACTACACAAGTAGAGCTTTTTTTTTTTTTACTGCTCAGCCAAGTATTATGTTCATTATATTTTCTTTCCTTTAAAACTGCCCATTGCTCCTTTACTTGTTTAGTTTTTTATAACTGTATTAATATTTCTTAGGAAAATCTTCAAATTAATTAATAAAACTCCCCTATATGTATATCTATCAGTTCTTATTTTTTTAAGAATATAATCCTCCTGGTCTAAGGTGGTTGTTCCCAAGGTTTGCTTCCTGCCTTCCAAGAACTTCCCTTCACTTCTCTTCGGTGTTGACTTCTGTTTCCTGTTCTCATGTTTCTTTCTTGCTTTATTCCCATGTTTTTACCAAGCATTCTCCAGATATTCCTGAGAGAAGCTGCATCTAAGCAAAAATTTTTAAGACCATGTATGCCTCAAAATGTCTTTACTCTACCTTCAAATTTGATACACAGTTTTGCTAGAAATAGAATTGAGTGTTTAAAAATGTTTTCCATTAAAATTCTAAAGTCATTGCTCTATAAGCTCTAATTTCAAGTACTAGGGTTAAGAATTTCAATGCCATTCAGTTTCTCTATCCTTAAGTAATCTTTTTTTTTCTCTCAAATCTTACAGAAAGTTATCTTTATTCTTGCTTCTCTGAATGTTATAATGATGGGCTTGGTATGCCCATTTTTATTCATGCTTTCAATCTAATAACCCACATCCTTCAGTGATATGCTATTTTATTCTTTGGTGGTTTCACTACAAATCACAATATGCATATCAAATATATCAAAGTTATAAGTTAATGCTCTACCTCAGAGTTGGATTTACAACAATGGTAATGAAGCTTAAATTTCAGGGACTCACACTTGCCCAGGTTCCTTCCAAGCCTAGCAAAGCCCTAGCAATGTGTTCACTTTGTCATATATTTTTATAAGATTCAGGAAAATAAAACATTTTAATTGAAGTTGATTAAAATTCCTGTCTCTACCCCTACTTACTCTCTCTTACATTTTCCCTTGCTGTATTGAAGTAGTTGTGGGTCATTTTGGAGATCTGGCTAAAGGGAAATTGAGTTGAGAATACATTAAGTGTAGGTCTGAGGGACATGTTTATAAGATCTGTTTCAATAATTAAGATTAGTAAGTGACAGAGCTAGAATTCTGTTTGCCTGATTTTAACACTTCACTAGATTGCCATCAACAGGCCTTTGACTATGTAACAGGAAGGCACGATGATCTTGCCTCATCCAGTAGACATTATTAGTTTGACACTACTTCCCATTTCTTACTAATCTATATGCTCTAACATATTTTTCTTGTAATTTAGCTAATGTAACATTGTATTATACTCTATCCAAACTGAATTCCTTGTCTTTGCCAAACCATGTCTTCGCCTATGTATTTCTCTCAGTCTGAAATGCCCTTGCCCAATTACACATACACAGATCCTTATTAATTTCTTTTTGATTTGACATTATTGACACCGGTGAAGAAAACCTAAGACTCTCAATATTTACTGAGCCATCAACAATAAACTAATGTTGTCAATTCACACAATATTTAAAATTAGTTACTTCATCTAAAAAAATTTTATATACTCTGATATTATAGCACATTATTGACAAAATTGCCAGGGTTTTTCCCAAATTTAACAAAATCAAAAAACTATGCATATTATTAATAATCTGTGACATTGAATTAAGCTTTTCTAAGTTAAAATAAAAAACAAATTTCAATCAACTATGCTAAAAATCAGATTGAAATTTTCTATTCTCTCCATAAATATTATAAAATGATTATCAAATCAAGTCAGTCAGAGAGTACATGCCAAAAAATTTAGAAGAGTATCAAAATAATAAAAACATATTACTTTTTTCTCTCTTATGAAATTTATAGTATTTGTCACCTTTCTTATATCTGTAATTTACTACAATTTATTTTATTTTTTAAAAATGTTTACTTTCGGGGCTCCTGGGTGGCTCAGTCAGTTGAGCGGCCGACTTTGGCTCAGGTCATGATCTCGCGGTCCGTGAGTTCGAGCTCCGCATCGGGCTCTGTGCTGACAGCTCAGAGCCTGGAGCCTGTTTCGGATTCTGTGTCTCCCTCTCTCTCTGACCCTCCCCCGTTCATGCTCTGTCTCTCTCTGTCTCAAAAATAAATAAACGTTAAAAAAATTTTTTTTAAATGTCTACTTTCATACCTTTTATGGACTGAACTGTGGTCCTCCAAAATTCATATGGTGAAGCCCTAACCCTCAGTGTGACTCTGTTTTGAGATAGTGCCTTAAAGAGGTAATGAAGATTAAATGAGGTCACATGGGCATGGCTCAAATCTGATAGGACTAGTGTCCCTATAAGAAGAAGAAGAGACACCAGAGAACTTTCGCCACACACAGAGGAAAGGCCATGTGAGGACACAGCAAGAAGGTGGCCATCTGCAACCCAAAGAGAGAGGCCTTACCAGAAACCAACCCAAATGGCACCTTGATCTTAGACTTCCTGTCTCCAGAACTATAAAAAATATATATATTTCTGATGGTTAAGCTGTAAAATTCTATTATGGAAGCCTACACAGACTAACACAATACCTAATTTGTTTACATATTACATTCTTTTTCTTAAATAGGGTCTTTCTAAATGTTTTAGCTTTACACTTCAAAAAACCCAGATCTACCTTTGCTTTACCTTTTTTCTGGACTACACAAGGAACTTAAAACACTTTAGCTCATTATCTTTTACCGGACTTACACATTTTTGCTGTTTTATACTTTCATTCTATCTTTCTCTTAACCACATAGTATTATTTTCCTTTTATACAATCTTCATGTAGATTTACCCACATATTTACTATTTTCTTTCCTCTTTATTCCTTCTTGCATTTCAGAACACCTCCATTCTGTATGAAGTACATTCTTTGGAATTTCCTTTAGTGGGGATATGCTAAGGTATGAATTTCTTTCTACTTAGTTGCTTGTGAGATAAAGGGCTTCCTGAATCTGTAGGTAAGTGACTCTCATCAGTTCTGAAATTTTTTCAGCCATTAACTTCTCAAATATTGCCTCTGTTCCATTCTTTCTCTCTCCTTCCCAGACTCTGTTCAGATGTATATTAGACCTTCTCATCTCTCCTTCCATGTCTCTTAATATCTCTTACATATTTCCCATCTCTTTGTCTCTGTAAACTATAATCTGGATAATTTCTTCTGATCTAGCTTTGACTCACTAATTGTCGATACAGTTGTGTCTTATCTGCTAAGTTTTCATTTTCAATTCTTAAAATTTTTAATTCTCAAAAATTCTGCTCTTTTGTCAAATACACAATTCATTTTTTTTATTTTTTTAATGTTTATTTATTTTTGAGAGAGACAGAGACAGAACATGAACAGGGGAGGGACAGAGAGAGAGAGGGACACAGAATCCAAAGCAGGCTCCAGGATCTGAGCTGTCATCACAGAGCCTGACATGGGGCTCAAACCCACAGACTGGGAGATCATGACCTGAGCTGAAGTCAGACACTTAACCGACTGAGCTACCCAGGCACCCCTACACAATTCATTTTTTATAGCTTCCTATTCCATATTTTCAAGTTCATCATTTACCTCTTTCAACATAATAGGATGTATGTCATACATATTTGGCAACCATTAATTTCCAATATCTAAAGCCTTACTACATACATTTTTTTCTATTTCTGCTGATTCTTACTCATGATGCCTTATTCCTTCTGGTGCTATAAATTATTGTAAAACATTCATTCTCCTTGGAAAACTGTGAAAATTATTTGAGGCCTAAGAGAAAGTGAATTCCTCCAGGGAGGATTTATACTTGTTTGTGCTAGACAGGGTCACTATCAGTCTGGGACCACTTTAACCTATATTCATAGGTTATAGGCTTTTATTGGTTTGTTTTTGGGGGGTTTTTCATCTTGTTCTGTTTTTTGGACTAACCAAAGGTGAGAATTTTGATTGCACAATTGTTACAGTGTGATATTTACCTTCTCTACTCGGCGCCAGGCAATATTCCTTGCTGTCTCTTCAAAGTAGAGAGGGAGGTAAGTAACTTCACACTTTTATCTTGAGGAGGGTACGTTTTGGAATACCAGTTTTACAGATTAGAATTTTCTACCAGATGTCCTTCCCTTGTGAGGACTCTGAGTTTTGTCTTCAGTCTTCCACACACTGGAAGCTATTGAAACTGAATCTATTATTTATAGGTTTGGTTAAAACCTCCAGGTATGCCTTCAAAGTCTTACTTAACCCTGCTGTGTTCCCACTTTCACATATTTTGGCTTGTGGTATCAGATTGTTTTATGGCTTTAGGAAGGCTTTTGAAAATATTTATCCAATTGTCTTACATATTTTCAAGAGAGGGGATTAATTCAAGTAATTTAGCCTTTCAGTGGTAGGGTTTATTTAAATAATCTGAGTTTTCCATCTGCTTTCCATCTTCTAAACATTTGTTGATATTTCTAATCTGCTATTCTACTCTGCATTCTCTTTGTCCTTGTGGGTTTATATTGTTTTTACTCCTTTACTCTCCTTTTTAGTATAATTTCAGGAAAGTGCAAAGATAAAGAATATGTTCAGTCTTCTGAAGTACTTCTATATATAACCTGATTATTTTTTACATTTTGAATTATTCTTCCTGATTGTCAAAACAACATGTGATTTCTGCAGAAAATTTTTAAATTCAGAAAAGTATAAAGAAGATGAAATAAAATCACTCATAATCCTACTACCCAGAAGCAGCCACAGTTAACATTTTTGCATATTTTCTTCCAGACATTTTTATATAATGATTTCTTTGTATCCTTAAAAGTATGCTGATAGAAAAGTTCATAAACTGCTTTTTGCCTAAATTTTATTTTAGAATTACTTTCTTGTCATCAAAAGTTATCTGTAAGTACTATTTCTTTTTTTTATATATCATTTTTTATACTAACAGTGTACAATAATTTATTTGCTAATTCCACTGTTAGCCAATTAGGTTTCTCATTTTTGCTATTTTTTACTAATACCCCAACTTCTCAACGTTTATTTATTTTTGGGACAGAGCGAGACAGAGCATGAACGGGGAGGGGCAGAGAGAGAGGGAGACACAGAATCGGAAACAGGCTCCAGGCTCTGAGCCATCAGCCCAGAGCCTGACGCGGGGCTCGAACTCACAGACCGCGAGATCGTGACCTGGCTGAAGACGGACGCTTAACCGACTGCACCACCCAGGCGCCCCCTAATACCTCAACTTCTTACTTCATGAAGAAACTAAAGGATGAGGATAGAACCGTGACATAGAGCTAGCTGTCATTTGAACCCATTGCTAGTCTGGATGCTATGTACTACTCAAAATCATCAGAAGATCCACCATAATATAGGCTGTAAGTTCTAAATGTTGATCTTCCAGCTTCAGGAACTATATGATATAGAACTTTTAAGCCAAAACCCACAAAGTCTTTGTATCACAAGGAATAAAATGTCTCATAAGTAGGTTCTCTTCGATCTCTTACTATCAAAGGTAAAAACATTAAAAAGGGCTGAAGTCTAAAGGTTTATGGGAAACCAGAAACGGGAAGCCTGGGAGAATGAACTGATCTCATGGGTGACTCTACCACAGAAAGAACTCCAGGGAAGATGATAATCTGTTCCTCTGAGATGAATCCATGTCTGCACAGAACAATAGTCATTATTGAAAACTGGGTCTATTATTTACCAAGTAGGTTTTTTTTTTTTTTAATTTTTTTTTCAACGTTTATTTATTTTTGGGACAGAGAGAGACACAGCATGAACGGGGGAGGGGCAGAGAGAGAGGGAGACACAGAATCGGAAACAGGCTCCAGGCTCCGAGCCATCAGCCCAGAGCCTGACGTGGGGCTCGAACTCACGGACCGCGAGATCGTGACCTGGCTGAAGTCGGACGCTTAACCGACTGCGCCACCCAGGCGCCCCCAAGTAGGTTTTTTTAATATCTAAATTAAATACCTAAAAAGGTTTTTTTTTTTTAATGGAAATACCAGATTCTGGAAATTCCCAGAAGTTACCCTATGAATAAACTTCACACATGCAAAATGATGACTACATAAGATTACTCATTGTAATTTTACAATAGTAAAATATTAGAAACAACCTAAATTAATGTAAATATGGGACTTGTTAAATAACTCATTGTACATCCATAATTTGTAATCCTATACAGATAATAAAAATGAATGAGGGAGCTCTTGCTGTACAGATATGGATAGATTTCCAACACATACTGTTAAGTTCAAAAAGCAAAGACAGTTTTTATGTTTACCATTTCTGTAAAAGAAACAATAGGAAAAAAGGATATAGGCTTTTTAAAAATTTTTCTGAAAGAATCATCAAAAAATTGACAATAATAGTTTCCTTTCTGGGCAGATGAAGAGAAGGAATGGGAATAAGGGAGAGAGAGACTATGTCTTCATATACTTTTTGATATTTCCACAATGTACTTCTTTTCAAAAAAAAAAGAATAATTCTAAAAATAAAAACTGTAAGAAAAATTCTAAAACCTGCCAAAGAGCTGTGTAGTTGACACAAGATCTCAGTGTATTCATTTAACATAGGGTGTGAGGAAAGACTTACACTGAGTGAAATTTGCTTGACCATGTTCCAGAAGGGTGTAGAGCTGCAAAACAAGCTGTGGGCAGCCTTCCAGGTAGGTCTCAAACAGCCTGAGCATGCTCAAATCAGTCATTCTATCTATAACTTCTTTATGCTGATCAATTTGTTCTTCCATGAAGTTATCAGTTTTGCTGCTGTATTTGAAAGCCACATGATAACCTTTTTTCAAGGCAAACCAATACCTGTAAACACAAACGTTTATCTCCAGTAATATATTCTTTTTTTTTAATTTTTTTAATGTTTATTTTTGAGACAGAGAGAGACAGAGCATGAATGGGGGAGGGGCAGAGAAAGAGGGAGACACAGAATCGGAAGCAGGCTCCAGGCTCTGAGCCATCAGCCCAGAGCCTGACGCGGGGCTCGAACTCACGGACCGTGAGATCGTGACCCGAGCCGAAGTCGGACGCTCAACCGACTGAGACACCCAGGCGCCCCTCCAGTAATATATTCTTTATAAATGTATGTTAATATACATAATAATTTTGGAAAAGGTAACATGTTTAAGTATAGAATTTTCATACAAACTTTGTCTACTACAAAATTTCTTTCAATTCTGAATATTTCATAGTGGCTATATTGAGATTCAGACTCCATAAACTTTAATTGCATGTTTGATTTGTAGTTGTATGCTAGCACACATGCTAAGCATACATGATCTCAATTCATCTTCACATTAATTATAGGAAATGAGTAGGTATTATTCCATTTTCACAGATGAGAAATCTATGGCTGAGAATGTTAGAGTGATTCACTGAAAGCTATGCAGAGCATAAGAGGCAGACATAGACTCCAAACGTAGATCTTAAGATTCCTAGTCTTAACCACTACTTTCTGAAAGACAAATCGCAATTTTCAATTCATGCAATTTATCTTAAATACAAGACAGATACATGGTTTTATGATAATGTCAAGGTTGAAGATAAGACTGAACCTAGCAAACAATTACTCAATATCTGCAAAGTGCTACGTTCTTTGACCACTACCATCCTAGAAAAAATGTAATTTCTCAAAGACTTTTAAAACATTCTTGCTCAAGCTCTTCTTTTTAAAGAATTTTAAAATGAACATGATTTTTCACCATGCAAGTAAAACTAATAACAAAACATCGAGACACTTATTTAGAAGAAATCTGGAGCTAGCAACAAGGCAACCAGGATTCTAGCCCAAAGCTTATCAAAACTCTTTAACTATTCCTCAGTTTCCTCATATATAAAATAAGGGCAGTGATATATACCTTCTTTCAACCTGCCTCTTCTGTCAATTTTTCCCATTTCAGTAAATGGTACCAACATTTACCATGCTGCTCAGACCAAAAACACGGAAATAATTTCTAACTCCTTTCTTTTTCTCACAACCTAAAAAAATTCCTCACCATGTTCTCTTGGTTCTTGGTTCTAACTTCAAATATATCCAAATCTAAACACATCATCACTTCCACCGCTTCAATCCTAGTTTAAGCAGCCAACATCTCCAGTCTATATTACCTCAATAGTTTCATAACTGGGCTCTCTGATTCTATTGCTCCCAATGCATTCTATTCCATAGATAGCATCTAGGTTGAACCTGTTAAACATAGTTCTGATGTCACTCTGCTCAAAATGTTCCAATGATTTCCATCAAACTTAGAAAAAAAAACAAAGTCTTACCACTTTTTACATAGCCCTTCATAATCTGCCTCACATGCATTACTCCCACTACCTTTCCATCATATTTTTCTCATACTTTTGGTATTCTCTTCTTGCTATTTTTTCCAATTTAAAGGCTTTATCTTTGCTACCTGCCTCTGCCTGGAACTCTTCTGGGTAAGATGTGGCAGACACTGCTCCAGGAAGTTCTACACACGTGTGGCACCATCTCCTGTGAACACCCATGGGAGGTCATGCCCGATCTCTACTTCTACAGAGATCTTGAGGAAACTGGAAAAAAGAAGCAGGCTACTGCTGAAAAGGATGTGACCAAAGAGAAATTTTAGGGTGAATGGACTGCTCCAGCTCCTGAGTTCACTGCCACTCAACCTGAAGTCGCAAAATGGTCTCAAAATCTCAGGTGCTCTCAGTGAGGTCAGAGAGGTCTTTTCCTGCTTTCTCCTCTAGGGTTTTGATGGTTTCCTGTCTCACATTCAAGTCCTTTATCCATTTTGAGTTAATTTTTGTGAATGGTGTAAGAAAGTGGTCTAGTTTCAACCTTCTGCATGTTGCTGTCCAGTTCTCCCAGCACCATTTGTTAAAGAGACTGTCTTTTTTCTATTGGATGTTCTTTCCTGCTTTGTCAAAGATTAGTTGGCCATACTTTTTTTTTTTAATTTTTTTTTTCAACGTTTATTTATTTTTGGGACAGAGAGAGACAGAGCATGAACGGGGGAGGGGCAGAGAGAGAGGGAGACACAGAATCGGAAACAGGCTCCAGGCTGTGAGCCATCAGCCCAGAGCCCGACGCGGGGCTCGAACTCACAGACCGCGAGATTGTGACCTGGCTGAAGTCGGACGCTTAACCGACTGCGCCACCCAGGCGCCCCAGTTGGCCATACTTTTGTGGGTCTAGTTCTGGGGTTTCTATTCTATTCCATTGATCTATGTAGACACTCTTTTTTAATAAATTTTTTTAGTGTTTATTTTTGAGAGAGAAAGAGAGAGAGAGAGAGAGACATAGTACAAGCAGGGGAGGGGCAGAGAGAGAGGGTGACACAGAATCTGAAGCAGGCTCCAGGCTCTGAGCTGTCAGCACAGAGCCCGACACGGGGCTCAAACTCACAAGCCATGACATCATGACCTGAGCCGAAGTCAGACGCTTAACTGACTGAGCCACACAGCCACCCCACAATAGACACTCTTTAAACATAAATATACAGATAGTTTGAAAGAAAATTAGAAAAAAGTAGTTGGTAGGGTTATATTAATATCTCAAACAAAAGAGACCTCAGATCAAGGATTATTACCAGGGAAAAAGAGGGTCATGTCAAAACGATGTAAGAATAAATTCTTCATGAAGACATCTGTGTGTACCTAATATTGGAGCTTTAAATACCTGAAGCAAAAATTATCAAAAATAAAGGTAGAAAAAGACAAATTCATAATCTTAGTTGAGGATTTTAACATGCATCTCTCAGTAACTGAAAGAAAAAGGCCAAAAGAAAAAATCAATAAGCATACTGAAGATTTTAATAACACTATCAGCCTAAACGCCCTAATTTACATGCATAGAACACTGCACCCAACGATAGCAAATTATAAATTCGTTTCAAATGCACATGGACTATTCACCAAGTTAGACTATATGCTGAGCCTTAGAAGAAGTCTCAATAAATTTGAGAAGGCTGAATCATACAAAGTATGATTAAATGAGAGATCATCAACAATAAAATATCTAGGAAAATCCCCAAATATTTAGAGTTTGAGGTAAAAGATCCAGATCCTAAAGTTTCATAAATATTGCAACCTAGGAAATTTGAACATTACTAAAGGACATGTCTCTAAAGAGTTTCAGGTAGAAAATAAATAAGAAAGAGGGTTCAACTATTTAATGCCCATTTGAGAAACTCTATAAAGAAGGGTGTAGGGATCTGTGGGAAGGAAGAGACTCATCACCCACTGTATTCTGTTTTATACAATTTGAACTTTTTTTTACAATGTATTCAAAAGGAGCAAAAATAAATTCCATATTTTAAATAATTCAAATGTCTTTCTTGTATCTATCAAAGGGAAGTCTCCTTTGAAAAAGAAAAAGGTTTTATCACAAATCATACATAAAATGGAAATGCGAAAGGGTCATCTAATTTATATTCTGTAAAGTGAAACATTTTTTTCCACAGACCCCTGAGCAGTAACAGCATACTTACTAACAACAGGCACTTATATCTAATAAATAATTCATGTTGATATTCCTTGTCTTTCATCTACCAACACAAACCCAATTTAGCTACCCTATAAAGAGAAATGAATCCATAATTCAGTATGTCTCAATTTTTTTCTCTACTTAGTCTGGACAAACCCCGGGATAATTTGCCCATTTTTACTGTTTTAATTTTTGCTTATTTCTATTTGTCTCAGTATTCTGCCACTTCTTACACTAACTAAAACACAAAGAAAAAGAAAGACAAAAAGAAGGAAGAGTTTTTATCTAGCTGGCAGGCATTTTTCACTAAGAGCCAATCTAATTCAACTTTTTCTTTTCTTCTTTTGTTTAATTCTTTGAGCAGGCAAAATACATAATTCAAAAATCAAAAAATACAAAAAGTTATTCACTGAAAAAACTTCTTCCCACTCCTCTGGCCCAACTACCCAGTTTTTACCCTCCCCTATGACCACAAGAATTCACTGTTACTGGTTTCAGGCATACCTTTCTAGAGTTTGTTAATGTGTATGCAAACAAAAACAAGCATATAAGCCTTTCACCACCTTCTTTTACACAGATTGTATCATATCATACTTACTGCCTGCACCTTGTCTTTTCACTTAAAAATATATCTTAGAGGCACCTGGGTGGCTCAGTAGGTTGAGCATCCAACTTTGGCTCAGGTCATGAACTCATAGGTCATGGGTTTGAGCCTCGCGTCGGGCTCTGTGATAATGGCTTGAAGCCTGGAGCCTGCTTCAGATTCTGTGTCTCCCTCTCTTTCTGCCCCTCCCCTGCTCTCTCTCTCTCTCTCTCTCTCTCTAACTCTCTCTCTCAAAAATAAATAAACATCAAAAAAATTAAAAAATATATATATATATACATATACACATACACACATGTATATCTTAGATAGCCTTCAACAAATGGTGCTGGGAAAACTGGACAGCAACATGCAAAATAATGAAACTGGACCACTTTGATACACCACACACAAAAATAAATTCAAAATGGATGAAAGACCTAAATGTGAGACCAGAAACCGTCAAAATTCTAGGTGGTAACCTCTTTGACATCAGCCATAGCAACTTCTTTCTAGATATGTCTCCATAGGCAAGGGAAACAAAAGCAAAAATAAACTATTGAGACCTCATTAAAAAAAAAGCTTCTGCACAGTGAAGAAACCAATCAACAAAACTAAAAGGCAACCTACAGAATGGGAGAAGATATTTGCAAATGACATATCTGATAAAGGGTTAGTAACCAAAACATATAAAGAACTTATCAAAATCAACATGTCAAAAAACAAATAATCCAGTTAAAAAATGGGCATGGGGCGCCTGGGTGGCGC